CTTCAGCTGGTCTTTGATTCCCGTGATGGTGGAGAAAGCAGAAGAGTGGAAGTCGAGAGAGGGACTAGTTAACTCTAGTCATTTTACTTGAAATTTCAGTGGACATTTTGAATTCAGAAATGCCAGGACAGATTTAAAGTTTGAATTGTCTTGCCAGCCAGTGTTTGAAATAAAAACAAGAATCGTTTTTAGACAAGTTCATTGGAATTTCTCTTCGTTTTTCAAATGTTGTCAAAATTTCCAAAACTTGAAAGATTTTGGTGGTCTATAATATGTTGCTTTTAAATGGAAATAAGTGACCAGCTGTTTTCTTCAACTGGTCATATTTGTGCGTCTCTGCTTATATTGCCGAAAGGAGCAATTTATAGCCTTCAGAGCAGATTTGTTTGTGTTCCTGAAGTGAGTGTGCTCTTGGATAAAAGAACAGTCAATCATGCAAATGGCAGCCCTCAACAAAAAAGAGCTGACTGGAACTCCATTGACGTTCAAGATCTGAAAGAATATATTCATTCAAATTTAAACAAACCCAGGAAAAAAATGCCAAAGGAATTCCATAACCACCTTTTCTTGTTTTTACAACTTGCCACAGATGCTTAAGTAGAAAGCTTTTCTCCTGGATTTCGGCTCTGTGCGTCTTCTGCTTTGTCCTCTCTGAATGTAAGACCAGGAAAAATTTTGGGTCCGCTTTCCTCCCTTATAATGTCTCTTCTGGAGCAGCTGCCATTGCTTCCTCCAGGTAGCCCTTCCCTCAACTTGAAACAGTTTAGCTGCTGACATGTATTGACATTGTGAGCAAAAGAGGGGGAAACAGAGTAAAAAGAGATGTGAAAGGGCACGACAAATCCATCTTTGACCTCAAATACTACTTGATTTTGCTCACTCCTGTGAAAGGCTTTTTTGAAGCACAGGCTATTGCAGTAGCCTCCTTTCCTTCCTTTAAGTGAATCTGGCATCTCATTGCTATTAGTTCTAAAACCGTTTTAACGTGTAAGAGCCTAAAGAAGATGTACTTACTGGCCAGTCATACAGTGCAGGTTTTAGGCTGATTTCCTCAGTCGTGTACCACCTTACTCCTTTACCAGGGGTCGTCCTGGATTTAGCTGCCGCTTTTGAGGGCGCAAAGCTTAAATAGCCTCTGGGATACTGTATACTGCTCTGTCACTCCTCTACTCTTCTGTAAGTCCTCTCTCTGTCCACTCCTCTGTTCTGTTTTAGGACACTACTGTCCTCAAGTTGGTACTGTCCAGCCTCTGCCTTGCCCACCTGGTTCATGCACTAGTGCCCTGGGACAGAGCGAGTGCCAAAGGTGCAGCGGAAACTCTTGCTGCTCGGATGTGATGGGTCCAATCCAGCATGAACGAAATCCCTCTGGGTCACCAGGAGTCCCGCAGTGCCAGCACTGCCCTTCAGGTGAGCTGTGTGCTTTCAGTTCCACGTAGCTCTCGAGTAAATGTGAGTACTTGTAGAATCTGTGGTCCAGAAGACAGCTAGAGCAGCTCCTACCAATCTCAGCAGGCTTTGATTCAGCTCCCAGGAGACCTGATTTGATAACGGCCCCGGGGTCATTTCTCCAGCACTTCAGTATGCTTCCGTGCCCTTTCTTGGACTCCAAACGCCACTCGGTCTTTGTACACTGTGCTCTGCAACTAACAAATTAGAATGTGTGTGATAAGTGAACGCTCTAGCGATCTTGTATATCACATTGTGCTTTGTCTTGTCCTGTCAGCTTGGTCAGTCACCACCCGCCTTAGGAATGGAAAACAATCATGAGAATAAGATCTGTTGACCTCACCTCTGTCATAGCACAACTTGGTTTGTACTGTGCTGTCCTGTTCCTAAGGCTTGAGCTGTGAAAGGCCTCCTTGGGACAAGGTTGGTGTTCTAGTTGTAAAGATCATTGGCAGCACCTTACTCTCACCTCCTTAGGTCTTATGCTATACGTCGCTCTGAAGCTGAGCTCTTGAACTTCTCACTCGTATTTCGGAGTGGGACAGTACGTTTCCAAACCATGCTCTGAGCTGACCAAAAGCTGTATGACCACCTTAGTCTTGAGCTTGTGCTAGTAAGCCCTTTTTAATTACACAGTATATTAGCTCAGACTGAGGATCGTGCTGACACAATCAGGTATCTGGTTTTTAAATTGGAGTTAGTTTGTGTCCCACCGGATCAAAGCTCATTCGTGTCCACCTTCAAGATGCAACGTTAATATGGCCTCAGTTGATTTAGCAAGGACGCCCTTGTGTACTTCCGTTTGTTATTCCCCCCCACCCCCACCAGCGTGCAAGAGACCCATTGCCTCTCTGCTCAGTCTGAGTTGTTCAAGACATAGTTTGTGGACCCAATGCGCTATTCTTCCCTGTAGGTCACTCTTGTGCAGATGCCCTTACAGTCCCTCCGTGCCCAGCAGGGAGCTTCAAGCCCAGAGAGGGACTTCACACACCCAGCAGCAGCTCATCTTTCTTGCCAGGTCTGTGTCTTAATAGAGCTTCGTTTTGCATAATGGGGGGGTGGGGGGAATGATTCTTGCTGTAAATCACACTGTTAATTACGTGCTTATGCAAGGACTTAAAGTAACTGTGCTTATTTACTATCCTGTGGCTAAGGCAATACTGGAGCTGGATGAGGGGAACACCTGTGGGATGTCCTGTGACTCACCAGATCTATGGTGAAGTATTCAGGAGTTATTAGGATTTTTCAAAGTAAAATGTACTTGGGTTACAATTTCACTGGAAGAGATTTAAAATGAGATAGACGAGGAGACTTCGACTGAATCTCCACCTGTAAATCTCAGGAATCAACAACCTCTGCTGAGCTGCTAGACCACGGTGCGTCAGAGCAATGGAAAGATTAGCAGGGCTTTGGATGCAGGACCTTCTGTGCGTAGCTGTCTCCTTTGTCCTGCAGACAGGAAAAAAATACCCGGGCTGGTAACAACTGACATATTACCCTTTTCTGAAGTCTGAGGCACAAACTTGAGGTGCTTAGTTTTCTCCATTGAGAGTCAGGGACTCAGACTTTACAGATTCCATTTCCAGAGTTTTTCTGTAACTGCTCAGTACTTCCAACCCAGAATGTCCTGGAAATGATGCCACAGACACGGATGTAATCACTGGAGAAGTCACTGCCTTCTAGCACTAAAGTCAAAAAAGAGAACACGTTTTTCCTGAAGCGTCGGCTTCTCTCCAGCCACTTCACCCCAGAGACTCTCCGATTAGTCCCTTTCCAGGTCCCCAGACCCCCCACGCTAGTACAGATTTTTAAAGGAGTGACATGCCCGCTTCACTCTCAAATGTTCTCGGCAAAAAATCTACGCTAGAGACAGTTGGTTTATCAGTGCAGGATGCTTGCATCAACTTAGTATCAGTTTACAGGCTTCCAGATTGGGGACTGTGAGGAGAGGCTTAGGGTAAAGTGGCTCTTAGGTGTGGGCTGCACCTGTCACTCAGCTGGCTGGGTCTCCCTGGATGTCTGATGGC